TTGCAATAATAATACTAAAATTATATATGCCAAAAAAGAATATGTGATTGATAGTCTAAACTTGATCGAGTTATAAATTAACTTATATATTTAAAAATTTAGATTTCATTATGAAATTACTTTTTGCATTGCAGTTCATGTTATACACTTTTTAGAATAATTAAGTCAGGATTAACATATAAGCAAACTTATATTTCACACAATGAATAAAAGAAACTAATCAAACATGACATATTTTATTGATATCAATTTAAAGAAAAGATACATAGAAGCAAATTTGATATTAATACATAAAAGCAAATGCAACAAAGACTATAATAAAGGACAAGCACTGAAAACACTAAACAAACACAAGTATAGAAATTACAAAAATCATCACATCATATCTCAAATGGCTGACAATGATAGAACACAAGAAGTACATCTAAAAATCTGAGGGGTCCAGGTCTAGAGGAGGAGGCTGGTTGAAGGCAAAAAATAGCTATTCATCATAGCTACATTAGTGTTCATGAATTTGAATTGTCCTCGAATCCACCCCATGTCTTGTTGATCATGAGCATCCTGCCAGTGTAGATGAGCTTGAATTTGATCAAAGCACTGATCAAAGTGACTCTCCAGTCAGTCAAAATACTGCACCATCTCCTGAAAATCAGGTCCATGAGTTGGCGCAGGTGCAGGTGCTAGAGCTCCCCCTTCTTCCTTAGAATCCTCACTTATATTATCACCTTTCCCAAAAAGTGCTCAAAATGAAGCATCAGTGAAGTAGATATACAATTCAAGTAGAGGATCATGATGAACAAGATTATACTTCTTCTCTAGGATATAGGTTACTAGGTGTCCTAGCAATATTCTTCTTCCTCTTGTGAGAGACATGCCCAATTTCAGAAAGACCATGAATATAATCAAGAATAAGTTGGGCTTCATCTATAGGTTGTCCAATCATGATAAGATAGGAAACAGTAGACAAAAGAGGAGTAATGTTAATGTGCTCACCAGCTTTAGGAATAATAAAAGTTTTAAGGACATGCTGAATGACCCTTGCATTTTGGTTTAAGGTATAGAACCTAAGCAAATGACATACTTATTCAATTTCTCTAATAACTTTGTTTATTTTAGTCCAATCTGTTGGTGGAATTTTGAAAAATAGGTTTTGAAAATATTAGTTTTCTTTGGGAATTTTAAAATTGAGATTTAATTCTAATTCTAGAAGTCGAATCAACTCGTTCGGAAAAGTATATCGCCCCGAAGGACGAAAATAAAATTTCATAACTGTGTTCAGATTTAGAATCATGAAATTCACCTTGAATATCATGGCTAGATTCTAAAGAGAACTTCACATGGCCCCGAGGGGACAAGGTAAAGTTCAACTAAATATCCAGTTATGATATTCAAGTGGTATGATTGTCGAATTCATATCCAAAGCCTTATCAAAGAAGGATGTATCTCCCCAAAGGGAGAAAACACATTTCAATCATAATTCTTCTAATATGATAACGACAATTGTTCTTTAACTTTTCCCAATGAAATCTAAGAAGATTTTTTTTTTTTTAAGATTAATTTTGAAATCATGTGTGTGTAGTTCCAAATCTCCAACGAGTGCAAGCCCTCATAATTAATTACATCATAGGGAGACAGAGTCCCCTACAAAAACTCTCGATTAAAATAAGAATAAATTTTTTTTAGATTTTCTAGGAGTGATAAAAAAACGAATAGGATCTTTTGGGAAATCAAAAGGGAATAGATCAAGATTGAACATTTATTAACAGAATTGAGGGAAGAAAGGTAGGGGACACCTTGAGATTCCAGAACCATCCAGAA